ATATTATCTTTTCAATTATTCTGATGATAATTTTGTGGATTGTTTAGAATTATTATTAAAGTCATTAAAGTCATCGAAATTCTCTCAATATTTTCTCTATGTTTGGAGAAGGAAATTATTGATCATCACAATAATCAAAAGTAACACGATGGAAGTTCTGAAGGTCATCGTCCTTCGAAACCATTTTCAAAGTTGTTGAAGAGGATAGACAAGACGATGATATCGGAGCATAGTTTCCTAAAGGAAGCACTTTGAAGATGACCATAATAGAATTCAGCAATGTAGTAATTTTACCATAAGTTCATCAATTTTATAAGATTAGATTTTTTATTTCCCAAAATTCTACCAGAAATTTAATTTCGCCTATTTTTATCTTTTTCGAATTGATATTTCTCTCTTCTTATTTAATATTTTTATCATAACAGAGCTGCGAATATTTACACGCGTAAAATACAAGTCAAAACAAGTAAATAAAATATGTGAAATATAACGTGAACATTTTATATCAAAAAACATACGAATATACGTAAAATTATAGAGAATGCGAAAATAAGTAATTAATCGATGACCTTCGTCAATTAAAACTAACTCGACGTATATTTACAGGGATATATGTATATTTATATTTGCTCCAGAAGCGTCATTCAATTTGTGCCGGCTTTTCAATAAATTTTATCTTTCGAAATTTCACTTATGTTTGTAACATAATTTGGATATGTAAAATCATCATTCAAAACTGAATTTCATTTTGAGATATCATACTTTCCCAAAAACTTTTAATCGTATCGATTAGAAATTCCTCTCGTTCTACGATTAAACCGGATCAATTAATATTAATTTATTCAAAAATTTACTCGTATTTTCGATAAATATCAATATAATCTTCGATATAATATCGAGTTTTATAAAATAAATACGATGGACGAATATAAAACATGCTTTTTAAATATACCTTTGAATACATGTTTAAAAAAGAATATACGGAATATGGAAAATGTGAAAAATATGTAAAATAAATATATGATTAACAATTTTCAAATGTGAAATCAATTTTTTAATATGATTTTTTATCTCATTTTATATGTTCTTCATTAAAGAATGATATTTTTTAGAAAAGTTCTCATTCTCGAAATATGAAAATACAAATATTCTTTCTACATTTCTTCAAAAAAATTACAATTGTTTATAAAAATATAAATAATTATGAATAGAAGAATATCTTTTTTTTCTAAGTTTTATTAAATTTTCTCTAACGTTTCTCTAAAGAATAATAATTACTTACAAAAATACAAACAACTATAAATGTATTTAAAAAGAAGAAATTTCTAAGTTTTTCTAAACTTAACCTAATTTAATTTTACCTAATCTAACCTACATTTCATAAAAATTATTATTTACAAAGATATAAATAAAGTTGTATACATGTAAAAAAAGATTTTCAAAAAATATACATAAATATAAATATGTATAAATATACGCAAAAGATTATTTCTAAGTTTCTCAAATAATAATAATTATTATTATTATTATTATGCATAAAGATTCGAACAGTGAATGCACGTAAGAAGAAATCTCTAATTATTTAATTAATAATTAATAATGAGTGCAATGTCTAGGTGACCAGGAGCCAGTAGATCGAAAACGAGGTTTACACAGGATCGTGGAGTGGTCCATTGTCGTCGACAACGCAACGAGCTCTCAATTTCCGTCCGTAGGTAATCACGGTAGGGAAGCCGCACAAGGTATACGGCTTAAAGCGAACTCCTTGCCGATAGTTAATTATTGCCGAGCAGAACTGATTTGCAAGTACGTCGTTTATAATCCACTTAAGTCCTAATCGAATCCTGACCGGTATCGATACAGACAATCGTACCCCACGATTCATCCTCAATCGAATCGATATCATTCGTTTTCTTTGAACATTGAACATCATTTTTAATGTCAATGTTTTTTGTTTCTTTGATTTCTGTTCTCAGCTACGAAAAAAAGAATAGATCTGAATTTTCGTCAACAAAATATTTCTTTTTCATGATTATTTATAATTATATCCAATAAAATTCTAATTTAATCTTAATAGATTTTTAATTTAATCTAATTTAATAGATTTTTGAATTATTATATTATATTATTATATTTAATCAAATCATAAAATTATGGCTGTAGTTTTTGATCAATTTTTTTGTGATTTTTGTTTATGGCAAAATAAAAATACTTACTTATATCATTTAATAGATCTGAATTTTCTTCAACAATATTCATTTTTCATGATTGCTATTGGAATTCAGTTATATCGAATAAAATTTTTTTGAATTTATAAAATCCTAACCTAAATTTTAATTAATTCCTTCATCCTAGAAACATGTCACTATATTAATTATAAATTATAATAATTACATTTAATTATAAAGTTATAAAAGTTTGCAATAAATAAATATGCTTCAATTTTCTTATCAATTATTTAAAAAAAAAGAATTGAAAGAGAAACATCAAAATATTTCGACATATTTCCACACGTACATACATGCATACTCACGTACCAATCTACTTATCGGTTTCACAAGGGAAAGCAATGCAAATATATTACGACGAAGAACTTAATGCTGTTATCGCAAAGCGAAGAATACCCACGTATTAAAAAGATCGACATACCAAAAGAACGATCGAGGAAAAATGGAAAATAGTTCAGCGGCCAATTACTGGTGGAATTTTTACGGACGATTTAACGCCGCTTACCTTCGTTTCTCTTGCGAAACCTCTCCGTTTCCATGGCGCCCTCTTCCTTCCTTTTCAAGAATCAACGAAGAAGGAAACGACGAGAAGAAAATAAAGAAGAAACGGGAAAAATTAGCTTGGGATCTCGTGGAAAATCTCGTGTCCTGATATTTGCATGTGATCTCTCACCACAGGTTTTACGGAGAAAAGAAGGTACATACACCGAGCTCTCGAAAACGAAGGAAAACGGTAAGATTGAACTATTGACTTTCCGCTTTTTTATTTATTGTATTTTTTACGTCTATTGATAAAATTTATGTTTTTTTTTCTTTTTAGCTTTGACAAAATTTCTTAATAATTTTTATGAATTTTTAATAAATAATAATGTAATAAGCTATACTAAGTTAGATTAGATTTCAAATGATTGAATACTTAATAAAACTATTGATATTTGTAGGTTTGTTGAGAATAACATTAATTGACTCGACAAATTTAAACAAGATTAGAATCATTGCAATTATTTAATTTGAATAATTTGTTGTAATTAGATATTAATTCCTTCATATGTTTTATAATTATATTTATTTTTCAAAGATTTTATTAATAATAATAGCTATTTTTTTTATAGGTTATGTTGAATTTTCAATCTATAAGAAAATACTCGAATTTGATATTGAAATATAATTTATCATAATAAAGTTGCTTTTTTATAACAAGACAATTGATAAATTCAAGTTGCATTCATCGAGCTTCAAGATTTAAATTAATGCGTAATAAATATAATTCAATACATTATACATCATACAACGGTATATTTAGTCACATATTTTTTAATATCTTTACAAATTTATGAAATCAATCATTTCATATACAGCAACTTAACAGAAGTTATTGATCGAAGAAATTATTGAAGACGAAGTTAATCGATAAGCAACCTAATAGAAGTTATCGAATCCAAAACGAAGTCGTAATTGAATAAAATTGAACATCACGAATAGCGTATTTCTCTGGGTTCTTTTATCTGACGTATTTCTCTGAATTCTTTCATATATTTCATTAGATCCATTATTTCTTTCTTTCTTTTTTTTTTTTAATCTTTAAGCAGATAGATGTTTCTTTTTTAATTATTTTATTTATTATTTTTTATTCTTTATTTTTTTTTTATTTGTTATTGATTACAATTTTTAATTTATTTCGAATTTTCCTATTCTTCTATATAGTATATTTCATCGATTTCCTTATTTCTGTGATAAATATATTTTCCATTTTGTTCATTATTTTTTATTCTTCGCTTTTTTGTTATTTATTGATTACAATTTTTTTATTTTTCGTTCAAGATAATAATGCAATCACGATAAATTTTTTTCTCCTTTTGTGTTTCAATTTTTCTTTTTACTAGAACGAAATTTGCGCGGCAATTTTAAAACAAACCCACCGGTTCCACCTTTATAATTCGTTCACGTTATTCTCGAGAAGTAAGAACTTGAACTGTTTCAAAATAGCTAGTATTTCGTGCTAAAGAATAAATTAAATCGTATCATGCGGAACACGAATCTCCTTTCTTCGAATAGTGGTAAGAAAAGAAAAGTGGAATGTAAATTAATTTAAAATCTCGGAAGAAGTTGGTATCCTAATATTTCTATGTAAACTTGCTACAATAAAACTTAAATGAAACCAAATTTTCGGTGCCGATTTGTATTTGAAAGAAGAATAGAATATTATATACTTTTTGGCCCCATGTCTATAGAAATAACTCTCAAGAAGGTTGCTCGTTCGTGGGAAACACGGGAATGAAAATGGATTGTAACGAAAAAATTAAACGATAAAGAACAATACTATTATTTTTTAATCTTTCTGTGAATTCTGTTCTCTTAAAATGGTAAAGAGCAGAAGAAGAAAAAAGAATTCGAAAGAACAATATGTATCGTGGAACTTGTTACAAGTTTTGTGAGCTTTTATTTTATATTTGCGGTGGAAAAGTTTAGAATTTAAAGAAATTCCTGAGAAAAAATGTTAATCGTGATAAATTGTTTTTCGTAAGTTGCTACGTGGAAAATGTCGATTCTAGAATTGAAAAATACAAATTAGGTAGATAGGTCCAAAATAATCTTAAATAAAACAAAAAATAATTATAATTTTCTCAAATTGGTGAATTTCTATTTCCAACTACTTTTTCTGCATTTTTTTCATTAAACAATTTTTATAAATGAAATACTCATAAATATGCATTTATGTTTCAGGTACATCAATCTAATAAATTTATATTTAATTGAACGTTGTACGTATTTCATATTTGAAATATGATGGAAATTCATATTTAAATAGAAGATAGAAATATTAAAAATAGAGCATAGTTGATATACAATTCAAAATGATTTGCCAAATAAAATTTTCTCAGTTTGAGAAATTCTTCTTTACTTTCAAAACAAGTAATTGTAAGAAACACAGGAGAGACTTGTTCAAGTAAGAGATATTATTTTAAACAAGTACAATAATTTTTTTCTTACCAAGAGAACCAATTTATATTCAAAGATTACATTTTTGTCTCTTTGATAGGGTTTCTTGAAGAAACGAAGATACAAGTGGTATTGTATCGTTTAATGACAAAAAAAAAGGGGAAGAATGAATATTTGTAGCGCGACAAAGAAAGAAACAGGAAGAAATTATAAAAGAGGTAGAAAATACCGTGCGAATCTCCATTTTCCTCTTTTCATTAATACGAAAAAAATCTCTTGATCTGTGTGCGAGAGTGGAAAAAAAGAAAAAGAAGAACGAGAAATGGAATAGACGAAGAGGCGAGAAATCGATTTGACTTTTCCGGCACATCTGTTTTCGGAATTTGCATACGAATTCTTGGCCAAAGATTTAAAAGAAACAGGCATTCCCCGCAAAAGAAGAAAGTGTGGAGTTCGAGCTCCCTGGCCACACGTGTCAATTGAATGTTTTCCAGTCTGAGAATTACAAACATGTGGAAGATGGAAACTCGAAAAGAGAGTTCAATATGTATATTTATCTATCATCGATGAAAATCAATAGAGGAATATGCTCGAGGAGTTGGAGAAGAAGAAGGGAAAACTGTATGTATGATTCTCTCTTTTTATGGTATTGAACAGAGAACATAAAATTTCCATGCAAATTCTTACTCTAGTATTTACGAGAGGAAGACATTGCGGCTGGAAATAAAAAGAAGAAAAAAACAGTTCGAGATCTGTTTTAGCGCCCGCGTGCCAGTGGAAAATACGAAGATATAGTGGAAAAACCTGAAAATTGCGTAAAACGACGAAAAAGTGTGACGAGATTTATGCAATTAAAAATTAGAGATGCGAGAGGAGAAACGTGAGAGAATTTTTAGATAAAATTTGAATACGAAATTTTTTAATGTGATGAGTGAATAGAAGGAATGAATTAGTAAAGTAAGTAGTTGACGAGAAGAATTTGCGCGCCATCTAAAATATTGATACATGGTAAAACAAATTGTTGAAAGCGAACTATACGTATAAAGTTAGGAAGAATTAAGAAGGGGAAATTAAAATTTAAAAATGAGAGGCATCGCGAAAATTCTTTTAAAATGCATATCTGAAGATTTTCGTACGAATTAGAAATTCAGAAATAAATGAAAATTGGAAGAAAGAAGAATAATAGAATGGAAGATTGTCTTCGTTCATACATATACATACGCATATTTTTTCATATATACGTTTATTTTGTAACAATATACATAAACTCGACAAACGAAAATTTTTTTCTAAAATTCTATGAATAAATAAAACGATTTTGTGATTCAAAGTCAAAAAATATTATTATAAATATTTCAATTCATTGAAATATAGCATTATTATTATAAGTATTATTCAATACTAATTATTATTTTATTATTTATTAGAAGTATTATTTATTAATAGTATCATTTTTATAAAATTTTCAGATAAAATTTATATTTTAATCAATTTATCGAGGAATAAATGAAACGTTGAAAAATTTATTTATGAACTTTTACAAGGAACAAAAAAGCGCAAAGTAAAAACAGTCAAAGATACACAAAATATGAAATGGTAAATACAAACATTTCAGAAACACGCGTTTTGTAATAACAATATGCATTTTCATTTCGTATTGAAATTTTATTACCGAAAAAATTTTATAGAAATATAAGATTATTTATATATTAAAATAATTTATTAAATCATTGCATATACAATTAAATAAATCCATTTTCTAACGATATTCTGTTTCTTACAATATTAAAATCGATTATCAAATTTAAAAAAATTATATAAGTATACTATTATTCATAATATAATTAAATTCAAAAAAAAGCGCCAAAATATTTTCATTAATTATTTAATTTAATTTAATACAGTTATTTATTTTAATATTGTATTTTGCGAATTAAAAGTATTAATCATAATTTTTAAATCTTAAAGAAAACAGAACCATGCATCGTTAATTCGTAAGCTTCATTATTAAAGTAGGAAGATTATGGATTCATTATTGGACATTCAGCCACTTCGAACAACCGCGGTTGCACACACAAGTTTCGTTTAATATTTATCCTTCCATTTGTAAAAGCTCGGCACGTATCCACGAACACGAAAATGTGTATATATATATGCGCATGCGCCCACGCGTTTTAGGCTTGCGCTTCAACCTTAAATCTGCCGGTAAGCCAGAGCACATCTGCCACCCACACGGTTTTCTTCTATTTCACCTTATTCCTAGTATTCCTCGTCCAAACAAATACAGCAACTACAAAATCGAAAGCCGAGAGATTGTCTACCTTACCTCCTTTCCTTCATCGAATCTAGCTTTACGATTCCAATGTATAAAGATTGAATTAACTAATTGATGTTTTTAAAAGAATTAACTTCTTTTGTTTTCTTGTTCTACGTCATTATAATAATATTATCATTGATTTTATTTTTGTGATGTTGGCAACTTATTTAGGGAAAAGTTAGTGAAAAAATGGACGATGTGTATTGAACATTCAAAGGTAATATGATAAGTTAATAACAAAATATAAAATTGGATAATATCGAGATATTTTAGATATTAATAGTTTATTGACAAAATATAAAATTGGATATTTTAGATATCGACACAAGATTAATAACGAAATATGGTCGAATATTTTAGATATTGACACAATCAGTTATCAAGGAAATTGAATGATATCGAATACTTTGAATATTGATACGATGGATTAATATAGCAATATAAAATTGAATGATGTCAAATATTTTGGATATTAACAACGCTTTACTAGCGAAATATGAAATTGGATAATATCAAATTATTTTGAATATTCACATAATGGATTAATATTGAAATATAAAATTGGATGATATCGGATATTTTTCAATATTGATTAATAACAATAATTTAATATCAAAATATAAAATTAATCGCGGATAAATCATAAATTTAAGTGCATAGTACATGGATATATGGGAGAATCGAGACTGCTAGGCAAACAACAATCCTACAGTGAATCTGAATCAACTTGGAATTCTAAAGAACGCTATTCTACCGAGCGAAGAAACTTTCTTTTCATGGAATAGGACAAGCTCTACGGGAAAAATTCACCCTCCTACTAGATTCCCAAGAAAAGGGAACCTAGTAGGTATAGAAAACCGAGGTAGTTTCCTGTTCTTCTTTCTGCGTGACAATGAGTTTCAATTTTGAATCAAAGTGAACGAATCAATTGTCGATCACTGATTTTAACCAATTTTCCATTTCTTTTTTTTTTTTTTTTTTTGTATGAAATAATTTTATTCAATGATCTTGAGATCTTTTATTCTTAAAATTTAAATTGTAAGTCAGATTTGAATACAATATAATAATTTGTAATTAAATATTAAATTATAAAATCCAATGGATGTTCCAATGTGAAAATTTTGATTATTTTAATCGTAATTTTACTCTTTTTTGTATCCAATATAATGTAACAGGAAGGTAACATAATACGAGGATCACAATAGAAGCATACTGAATTTTAAAGCATATCCGGAGTTATAGAGCGAATGGGATTCCCCTTCCTTCCAAGGATAAGGATAAACAAGCTTTGTAGCTCAACTTTTTTCAAAATCTTTCGATCATTGAATCGAAATCATTCGCACGAACTCAATATCTATATCAGATCCAGTTATTTAAATAAAAAAATATCTTTTTGATATTCTCTCTCTCTCTCTC